TTGTTGACCTTCATATCAGAGATGTTTTCTGGAATTTATCAAATCTTTGCACCATTTGGAGGAATTAATGTTATTCTGATAGGTGATCTTGCTCAACTTCCCCCAATAAATGGACATCCTGTATACAAATCTCCTATTTGGAAAGTTTTCTACCCAATTTTTCTTCGTCACTCTCATCACCAACAAAATGATCCATTTTTCTATAATGTCTTGCAAAAGATAAGACTTGGAAACAAAACACCATCTGTTTGGCAATTTTTACAAGAAAAAGCTAATCAAAGTCTTTCTTTAGAAATGTCTTCATTGCACACAAGCTATATTGTTGGGTTCAGAAAGAGTGCAAGTTATATTAACGAAATAATCTGCAATCACTTACCTGCATTGAACAACAAGTTTATGATATCTGAGGCGATTGACTGTGTAGATGGCAGGATGGTGGATAATAGTTATGAACATCTTATAAAAAATAAAACCAATCTCCCTGGATCACTTTGTTTGCAACTTGGTGCAAAGGTTATGTTTTTGAACAATTCACAAATTCACCATCAAATATGTAATGGAAGTTTTGGCATAATCACTGATGTTGACATAGAAAACAACAATGTGAGAGTTGCCTTCTCTGTATCTTCAGCAATTGTGGATATGGCAGTTTCAAAGCAAACATCACATTTTTTAATCAATGGTGTCCCTGCAACCAGAACCCAATTTCCTTTAGATAATTCCTTTGCTTTGACTGTTCACAAGTGTCAAGGGTTGACATTGCCAGATGTGTCATTTTCCCTGGACTCTCAAATCTTCACTTCTGGTCAAGCCTATGTTTCCTTGAGCCGTTGTTCAAAATGGGAAGATGTAAAAATTAATTCCCTTTCTAGAGATGCTTTTAAAGTTGACCCATCAATGATCAAAGAGTATGAGCATTTGGAAGAAATAGTGACAAGGCCCTTACCTTATACAGTACATGGTGCTCATCAGTTTGCAAACAATAGCAGTTAAAAATATTATTATCCTTTTTATTATTTATATGTTACTCAATAAATGTTTCACAAATAAAAAATATATTAATATTAAATAATATATATGGCAGTGGCAACAGAGTCACCTGCAATAGCAATTTCTAGTTATATAATTAATTACATTATTATTTTATTACATTATAATATTAATTACTTTTCTCTCTCAAAAAAACAGATCTAGTTACGCAACTAGCAAGGAAAAAAAAAAGAAAATCATTATATATATTGTTATTATATAACATTATAAATTAATTACTTTTCTCTCTCAAAAAAAAAATGGATCTAGTTACACAACTAGTAAGGAGAAAAAAAAGAAATCATTATATATATTGTTATATTAACATTATAATATTAATTACTTTTCTCTATCAAAAAAACGGATCTAGTTACACAACTAGCAAGGAAAAAAAAAAAGAAAATCATTATATGGGGCATGCTGCAACAAAACCAGACAAAGTGAACATTGGTATTACTGAAGATTTCAGGGATTAAAATTTGTAATGTGATTATTAAAATCTCCATTTGTTTGTTATCTTAATATTCAGTGATATATAGAATTACTCCTATATAAAAATAGTTAATATGAAGCTAATTTATATTAGGTCTACCATGGAACCCAAGAATTATAGTATTATCAGAAGTATTTTGAAAAAGGAACAAGGTGAAAAAATTGCACCTTATATCTTCAAAATAAATGAAACTTACACACTTGAAACTTATCTAAGAAAAGAAAGTATTACTTATGAAATTTACCAAGAAGAAAGGAAAATAATAAGCAATAAATGAACCTTAACATCAGCTCATGATGAACCAAGAAAGAAAAGAAGACTGGCAGAATAAACAATCAAATCATTATTAATCATCATCTTCATCTTCATCCAATTCATCTTCTAATTCGGAAGGAGCATTTCATCATTGGAGAAGGGTTTTTCTTTTGAGAATAGCTCAAATAGTTCCGGCGAATAACAAGAGTAAACCAAGAAAGGATAACCAAGCGGCAGGGTTATTAGTTCTTCAGAATCCTTCCTTAGAAGTAGGGGCTAATTTTTTAGGTTCATTTTTGGAATAACTATGGTTAATTCCGGCGAGTTTTTCGAAATAGTATTTTTTAATTCCGGCTTCAGTTGGACTAGCTCCATCCCCGTAGAGATTCCAATCTAAGCTTTTAGCTTGGTCTGCCGGATTCCGATCAGCTTTCATTTCAGTTTCAATTTCAGATTTTTTAACACTATCATTCTTGGAAATTGCTACCAAGTGCTTTCCAAGTTCCGTAAGTACTGAGAGTAGCATTGCGAGCAGTCTCTAATTGTTCTACTTTAGTGAGATATCCTTTTTCAGTAGCCATAAGGGGAGTTTCTAATTTGCCCTCATTTTCTAAATCAGTTAAGAAGTAAATCAAAGTTCTAATAGCAATCGTTTCTTGATAAGTGATAATGTTGGTATCACTGGAATTAGTTAATTTATCACCTAAATTTTTAAGTTGAGTTCGTAAATGATCAATCCTTCCAGTTTCGAGGGCTTTGATTTGATTTTGGATTTGGATTAGTTTTTGTTCTTTGTCAGCTTTTTGAAGACTAATTTTAGTTAACTCACTTCTTTTTTTTCCTAATTCCGCATGAATGCTTTCTAAACCTACTCGTTTATCAGCCATAATAGTTTTTCATTCATCTCACAGGTCAATCATTCTTTCAGTAACTTCATCTTCCTCTACTTTACCATAATTAGTTAATCACTTAACTTGATGAGCATTAAATTCTGAAAATTTAACTTTTAACTCATCAAATTTTAAACTTCTTGCTCTAGCATTAAACTCTAAAAAAGTTTTTGCAACTTCCTTTGATATTTTTCTATTAATACTTTGCCATTCTTTAGACAAGGCATCCACCTCACTTTTGATTGAAATAAAAGATTACCACTGACATCTTTGGCATTTTTGAGAAAATCTTCCACATACAATTCGTAGTTTAATCTCATAAAATATCGAATGGGGTTATATAAATGCCATTTTTTCTCATAAAGCGTTATTGCTTCCTCATGAACTTTTTCATTATTAACAGCATCTTTACTTAATACTTCATCATAAACCCCTCAAGTAATCGCCTCATCACTATTATAAATTTGCCAAAAGAATTCGGCGATTTGACCATCTGCCCAAGTTAAAGGCTTTTCTTCATAAGGAAAAAAAACTTTATGAGCTTGAAAAAAGTTTGCACTAACATCCGCATATTTTTTCCCAATAACACTCACGTCATTTCCTCGTCAATATATCTTATAAGGAGTATCTAAACTGTGTCCATTTTTAAACTGTAGACAACTGACTTCACCTACTTTTAAAAAGGGACTGTCTTTGTAAATACTACCTTTAGGAAAAAGAGTATGCATAACTCGGAAAATATCACTTACATAAATTCTTAATTTTTTAACTTCTTTTGTGTCTCTAAATTTCTTAATCTTTTTATAAATCAAGTAGTAAACGAATAATAATGCTTCATTAATTCTTTATTTCCATCATTTCCAATTTCAGCTTCTCAACCTACAAGTTGTTCAAAAGCACCTTTAAAATCTTTTTTTTCTTGATCAGTTAATCAATTACAAACCGAAGAGTCAATATAAGCAAAAAGTTTATCTTTAACCAAGTCTTTAAGAATAGTTATAATTTGAATTGGGAAATCCTCTAATAAAAATGTGCGATTAGTGTAAGGCTTGCCATTTACATTATAACCTGTTTGGATGATTGTTCTACAAGAATCTGCTATATTACTACCATTTTTAACAAGTTCATCTAAAAATTTACAACCTCCTGTGTTAACAATTCTAAGATCATCTTTTAAAGCAGTAACTGCAGCGTTAACCTTATCTTCTAAATCAGTTTGTTCTTGAAGAACTTGTGGATTATATTTTTTTTCTAACTCAGTAATCTCTTTTGCAACTTTTTCTTCTTCTTCTGATACTTTTGCAAAAGTGATTAATGCTTCCTTTAATTTTAAATCCAAAGTTTTATTGTTTTTTCTAAATAAGACAGTTTGGTATTCTTTTACCATTTTATCTATCTTTCCTTCACCATCTTCTTTAGTGTTAATTAATTGATAAGCAAGGGAGTTATTTCTTCATGGCTCCATTAAGGAAATTAACAATTCATTACCATTGGTAGATAATCCTGTTTCAGAAGTTCTTTCAGTAACTAAATTAGCCTCTGCTTTTTTGCAATTATTCAATAACTCTGCTGTATTTTGGAGAAGTGCTTTATCTGTTATTAAATGATCATCATCGAAGATATCTTTTTCTGGTTGAGTGAGTTCACCACCATGATAGTCAGGATATTCCTTTGCTTTTTCGATTGTATCGATATCATTTTTATTGAATGTCATGATTTTACTTCCTATATTATATTTTAATATTAATATCATTAAAAGATTAAATATAAAGAATTTAATAAAAACTAATAAAGTAA